AACCCCAAATTTCTTGATTAGATCCAAGATTTGCTCAACTCCTAAGGCTAAGGCGTCCTGGCTAAAATCCAACTTTTCCTCGTTAAGTTCCTCTTTTTAAAGGAGACCTCCAGCCATGTTTGACAGGAGTTGGCGGCGCGGGGCCGCCTGGTTGCCTTGCAAAGGCGACAGAAGTTGAAGCAGCTTGGGTCTCTTCAAGGGCCCCCCAGAGCTAGCTAAGTTGGTTTGTACCCTCTGGTTATTTAACATAGCCATGGTATAGATGGCCCATAGAAATAGATGATTTTCCCAGCTATAAACCTCCATTTATAAGGGATTTTCCATGGCTATGTTAATAACCAGATGGTAACAACGATAACTAGGCGGTTGTTTAGGGTTATTCATGGGAGTGAAATTAGCAACTTATACCTGGGGGAGCACCACCTTAAAAGGTTTTTATGATACCTTGCTCCTCTTCCTCCTCCTCCTCCTCCGGCCTCCTATTGCCATCTCGCAGGCTCTCTGGGGCTCGCCGGACCCGAACAGTATTCAAATCAGTGACAAACCGCCTTTGCGCACATGCAAAATTTAACATAGCAATGGAAATTCCCAACCATAAATGGAGGTTTATAGCTGGGAAAATCATCTATTTCTATGGGCCATCTATACCATGGCTATGTTAAATTACTCTGAGAACATGCAAAATTACTTTCTTCGAGTGATCCCCACCTTGAAACACTATTGCGACATAGTTTCTGACATATCATCTGAAACTATATATGGATCCCTGTTGAAATTTCCCCTGTGAAATGGCTAGCCTTAAGGCCCATATAAGCCCGATTTCAAGGATCATTTTGAAGAGATTTTAATTAGCATGGTGCTCTATCAAGTTTTCAGGGGCTCTCTTTAGAGGCTTCATGTTAGCATATATGGTCATGTATGACAGACTCATATAAATGTTCTGTCTAGAAATGGGAATATTTCATACCATGCAGAAGGCATCAAACATGAACAATGTCGGGAAACATCTGAAAACCGTTCCAGATCAGACGTTTCACCAGCATTGAATGGGGAATTCACCCAAGTGATTAGGTTTATCCCATGCAAAAATGAAATATATGCAACCAACGAACAAGTGGTGATTGAATCGTGTTTTTTTGGATACATCAGGCAATGAAAACAACGATGCGTTTGGTGGTGAAATCCACGCCTAAAACTTGGGGTCTCGGGGTCGCCGTAGGACCCAGGACCATCCCGGAATCCCTCCGTTTCATGGTCATCTCCGGCAAAAAGGGGTAGCCTCTATAGTATTTTTAATGGGAACATCACCATGCTATTAATGGGAAAACGGAAAACTATTTCGACTGGGCCATTTTCTATAGTAAACTAACAGTTTGCGAACTTGAATAGCTGGCCATTGAAATAGTGAGTTTTCCTCATTAATAGCATGGTGGATCTTTCCATAGTTATGTGAAAGTTTACCAGAGGGTAAAAACTCATTGAATTTTGTGGGCCCATTGGTGTTGAGTTTTTGAAACATCTCCCATCCAGTTTTTGTTTTCGATGGGGGAAACGCGCATGTTAGCTCCCCAAAGGCTGGTTAGATCGCTATTTCTGATGATTTTTTATCCCAATTTCAATAGGATAAACATCAATAAACATCCCATCAACCAACTTATCCCCAGGTTGCCCAGTTGTTTGTTAATTAACTAAGTTAACTAACTAGCCATTTGCTCAGGTGGTTAACCATGCCACCTATTTCACCTATGGTGATTTTCCTGGGGGATGGTTTCACTTTTGCTTCAGCCTACCTTTTGGCTTGATCCCAGGCAGCAACTGAATGGCTTGGATCCTGGGGACCTGTTGGTGATTGGATCGCCCAAAACGGATCCTGCTCAGTGTCTTGACGTCTTGGGGGGTTTGGACGGTCACAAATCAGCTATAAATCCATGGGAATATCAGTGCTATATATGGGATATAAGCAACTTTATATGATATGTTGCAAGAACCTCTGAATATCATAAATCAAGTATAAATCAACTATAAATCAGCTATATATAACCTAAATGTTTCGTGTTTTTTTTTTCCCCCGACACAAAATTGTGTGGTAAAAGGAGAGGCCCCTGTTGACGAAATCGCTCAATTGACGCACAGTTCACTTGGTTAACTTTTGGGTTGACTAGGGAGATGTAACGAGCTAGTTCATGAGTTTATAAACCAACAAATCAATACAAATCAGCGAATATCATGGTGATTGAATGGGGATATTTCATGGTGGTCATTTTCGAAAATTCACAAGGATTTGAAGGTTTTGTAGGATATAAAGGCGATATTTCATGGTGATTTCATGGGTATTGGACTTCATGGGGATGTCAAACTTCATGGTGATTTGATTTTTGGTGATTTGATGTTTGGATCTCAAGGGATCTCATGGTGAACCGTGTTTTTTTTTTTTTCGGAATCGAATTAGCATTACCCGGCCTGGTAAACATACAAAAAACTATGGAAAAAATGTCACTTTTCATAGATAAATCAACCATTTCGGCCATTTTCAAGTTCGCAAACTGTAACAAATGACCAGAGGCTAAATCATATTAAATCATATTAAATGGTCATGTTTTTTTTGATCAATCCCCACAGATTCTGGTTTCATGTCGTAACATGTTGTACCCGGCCTGGTCATTTGTTACATAGCGAACTGGAAAGATCCACCATGCTATTAATGGGAAAATTCACGAACTTTCTATGGCCATTTTCAATAGCTACGTTGACATAACCAGAGGGTAAATCACCATTTTTAATGGGAAAATCACCATTTTTAATGGGAAAATCACCATTTTTAATGGGAAAATCACCATTTTTAATGGGAAAATCCACTATTTCAATGGCCTTTGTTGATATCCCATGGAACCAGCCGTTCTGGCGAGGTCAGCTGCCTCGAAGTCCGCTGCGTCCGTGGTCTCCGAAAGTGCCACGACGTCGCCGCAGGCGTCCGCGCGACCCGCGCGACGCTCGGCGCGGGGCCTGGGTTTTGGATGGCCACGGGGGGCCGGGGATGGCCTGGAAATCTCTGTTTTTTGTAGCTGATTTGTCAAGAAAATGGGAATGTCAACATGGGTATGGGTCAAAATTTTTAAGACAATTGGGACCACAGATGTGAATGTCTATTTTGAATATTAACCATCCAATTATTGGGCTACCAACTTTTGACCCATACCCACATCTTTTCGGGAATTGAAAAAGGGGGAAAAACTACATGGCCAGATTGTGGAATTGGAGAATCAGATGAGCTTGTTTTCGTTGAGATTTAAACCTGTGGGTATTGTGATGGTCCATAAATGGGCTATTTAACCATCATTTGTAAGTGATTTTAATCATCAAACATGTGGGTATTTCTTATTGATACATGATTTTATTGGTCTTGGCTGCTTGATCCCATATCCCAACAATAAAAAAAGATAGAGTACCTACAATTTTGTAGGGACCCCAATTCATGAATAGATCCACTGCGAAAAAACCAGGGCCTAAAGTTAGGCCAGACATTCATCGATGATCTGAGATGAGAAAAATTGGTATTTCACGCGACTCCCAAAAGGAATCCTGCTGAAGAATAAGGGCTGATCATGCCAAGGGAATCATGGTGGTTAATAGTGGTTAGTAATGGTTAATAATGTTGGGTTACTATTATTGATGACTGGCTGCTAATTATTACCATACATAATAAGGTTAGTAATGGTTAATAATGTTGGTTAAAATGGTTAGTAATGGTTATTATTGATCATATATAGCTAATTTTTAAAAATGACTGGCTGCTTGGTGCTTTGGAACCATGGAATTTTATGACTTCCATCATAGATGCGATGTCATCCCAAGCCCACTGACGAACTCCATGATTTTTAAAGATGGTTATTGCACCACCAAGCAGTTATTTTCCAGCAAAGCATGTTTGATTACCAGAGGGTATTGAATCCATGGTACTACTGGTACTATCCAAAATGTTAGGTATGAACTATCCAAAATGCTTGGCATTACCCTCTGGTAATTTAACATAGCTATTGAAAATGGCCATTTATAGTGAGTTGTCCCATAAAAAATGGTGGATCTTTCCATAGTTACGTTAGTTTACCAGAGGGTACCCTCAATGAACCATGGCTGGCCGGAAAAGCCACCCTGGCGGCTGCTTCGATTTTGCCTGACCGTGGCAAATCGATGTGTTTGGATGGGGATCTCCAATCTGGCCATGTTTGATGGCCATGAAAATTCAGTTACCCTCTGGTTATGCCAAAATAGCTATGGAAAGATCCACCATTTTTAATGGGAAAATCCACTATTTCACTGACCATTTTCAATAGCCATGTAACAAATTACCAGAGGGTAAATCACGAAATCACCATGAAATCATATTAAAGCCTTCCATTTTAGACACTGATTAGTGGGTAAGATATGGAATATGAATGGATATTGTATAGTAATCAACTATTTAACTATAGAATATTAATCAACTATACTGGGATATTGAGAATCATGATTTGGCAGTGTGTCAAAACCAATAGTACCCCTGTAGTTCACATCAAAATAGCTGGGATTTATGGATGTGAATAACCCCCTAAACATGGTATTAATAGGTATTGATCCATAGCCATATTAAAGCCTGTTATATCACCATGAAATCACTATGGGAGTCCCATTCAACCCCACTAAGCCCACTAAATCCTATTAAATCCCATGAAAAGTCCTGTTTTTCATCCCTATCTGGCTGGTGGTTTGGAACATGAATTTTATGATTTTCCATTCAGTTGGGGAATGTCATCATCCCAACTGACGAACTCCATCATTTTTCAGAGGGGTAGGTTGAAACCACCAACCAGCTATTTATTATCCCATACATAATCCCATATAATCCCAGTAATCCCATATGATTCCCATACATCATCCCAGTATTTCCCAGTATTTCCAGAAAAAAATCACCATTAAATCAATAAATCACCATGAAATCACTATGGGAGTCCCATTCAATCCCACTAAGCCCACTAAATCCCTATGAAAATCCCATGAAAAGTCCCAGAAACAAATCCCTATTTATCACAACCATTCGCAGTTGATATTTCGATGCACCAAGGATCTCAACAGTTGGCTTCTCCCAAAACCCTGGCGGAGCTTTGGGCCAAGGGGAGCGGAACTTGGGGAACTATGGGATTTTGTCCATGGAATTTCGCTGGGTGAAAAGTTGGGATGTTTGGTTGGAAATTCCTAGGGAAAATGGTGATTTACCTAGGGAAAATGGTGATTTACCTAAGGGAAAATGGTGATTGAACTAGGGAAAATGGTGATTTAACTAGGGAAAATTGTGATTTGACTAGGGAACATGCGGATTTTGTGGGATTCAATGGTGATATCATGGTGATGTTTTGGTGATTCAGTGAAACCTACTTGGCGCAGACCGTGGGATTTTAGCCCCGATGACGCGTGACATCTATCCACTTCGTCCACTGGAACTGCACCAACCCAAGTCGAAGTTGATAGAATTCGCAGGGAAACGGCAGTGTAATAAAGTAGGTATTTATCGTGGTTTTGTCATGACAAATAAGGATGAGCGGACATTTTTTTTCAGGCTTTATTACAATAGGCATGTAAATTCAACCAAAAATGGTGTTTTGATGGGGATTTGATAAGAAAATAGGGATTTATCAATGGTTTCTTGAAACAACCAAGTGAGACATTTACAGTAATTCAAAACTGCTCAAGTGATAAATCACCACACAAAGTTGAGATTCCACCCAGAAGAAAGGATTATTTCAAAGATCTTGACATGACCAAGCAAGAATAGAGGTATCTGAGGATGTCAGCCATGGATTTACAGCAGCAAGGCTGCAGTTGCCGCAACGACGTCACTGCAAATTCGTGGACCAAAAACAGTGGGGGAGAGAACCTGGAAGAGACACTGAATCAAGAATTTGGTGAGTCATTTCTTTTCAGCCCTCCCCCAAGGAGTGATGTTTTTTTTTGCGTGTGAAGTCATGAAGTTTTCTGATGTCAGGATGATATGGCTTGGGATTCGCAGGGATTCCGGATTCGAGACACCACCCAAATGGCAATCCCAATGGGAACATGACTGGTTGGTGGTGACTGGAACCATGGAATTTCATGACTTCCCATATATTGGGAACAATAATCCCAACTGACGAACTCATATTTTTCAAGATGGTTAAAACCACCAACCAGATGATGGTTTTTTCCGTCCAAATTGGAGGTACCTTATTTCACAAAGCCAAAAAAGGACCGGGGGAAGGGGTCCGAATTTTCCGACCCAGTTTGCCCACCGTTCACATTGGCAATTTTGCTGGTTGGTGCTTTGGAAGTTTTTTGAATTTTCCATCATATATGGGATGTCATCCCAAGCCCATTGACGAAGTCCATGATTTTTCAAGATGGTTATTGCACCACCAACCAGTTATTTTCCAGCAAACCATGTTTGATTGCCAGAGGGTATTGAATCCATAGTTATTGGAGATATAAACCAACTTAGCTATCTACGGGGCCCCACATTGTAGATATATTACCTATATTATCACCTATAACTTCCCAGATGGTAACTCTAGTTATATCCCCCGACCCGGGACCGGTCACCCGTGGTGGGCCGTGAAACATGGCGGATGGATTCAGGGCCATGTGGGCCATTTTCTCAAAATTCAACTTTGATGAAGCTCCAATTCCAATTGTTGTATCCCATCCCTATTAAACCGATATATATATAATATAATATAATATAATATTATATTATATTATATTATATTATATATATAGACAACCCATGGGTGATTTTGGTTGTGCCGTTCCACATACCCATCCCCAAGGCCTGGATGTCCTTCGTTCCGAGGATTATTTGAAGCCCTTCCGCCGCTTCGCGGACGCAGAGGTGCAGGTGGACGGCGGAGATGAAGGACGACTGCGACAAGACCTCGAGGTGTGCTGGGTCAATCCGTAAATTTGGATGGGCACCACCTGAAACCTTAATCGCTTAATCGCATGAAATAAATAAATCGCATGAACACTCCAATAAAAAGTCCCAATAAAACTTATATGTTTAAGCCCTAGATTCGGCCAACGAAATCCCGTGTAAATCCCTATTAAATCCCTATTAAATCCCTATTAAATCCCTATTAAATCACATGAAATGCCATAAAATCGCATCAAATCCCGTGATATAAATCCTCTGATCAAATCCCCTGAATTTCCAACAGATCCTGAAGGCGGCGCTGGAGCTCAACCAACAGCTGGAGGAGGTCCTTCGGGAGAAGTCGCGGGCGTCCCAAGAGGCCGAGGCCAAAGCCGCGGAAGCTCTGCGGCAAATCTCTCGGGGGAGACAGCCACCAGTTGGGTATGGATCAATACCTATGAAAATACCATGTTTAGGGGGTTATTCACATCCATAAATCCCAGCTATTTTGAGGTGAACAGAAGGGGTACAAGAATGGTTTTGACACACTGCCAGTTGAAACCTGGGCGACTTTGAGGCATTCGATGGGGATTTCGTAGGGATTTAGATGGGATTTGATGGGGTTTATTAAGGTGTTTCAAATACGGAATATGCTGGGGTTGGAATGGGAATGTAATGGGATCACCTACTTGGGGGGAGCCACTTGATTTGTTGGTGATTCACCAAGAACCACGTCTTCAAAGCAACAACAAGGTGGACGATTTGCACCAGGGATTTAGACAACAAAAGTTTAATAACTGATGCATAAGCCATTTTTATCAATTTTTATGGTGCTGTAAACCACTTTCCTCGGAATCGGGCAAGTTTGCATATCAATAGAGTTTCTCTTTAACTGGGATGCGGCCTGGGTCTGATACCCACAAGGACCTTGACCCCTTTGTAGCAATCACCAACTAGACGACGGATGGCCCGAGAGCGTAGAGGAGCAGGGTCTTCTCTTGTTAGTATGGAGACACAATTTTACAAACAATATATGAAAGATGTGTTATAGGCAGTCGAGAAGAGAAGTAGCATTTTTACACACAGACGCTTTTACACACAGACGCTTTTTACACACAGACGCTTTTTACACACAGACGCTGTCACACACAAACACATGTACACAGAGGCTTTTACACAAACACTTTTACACAAACACTTTTACACAAACACTTTTACACACAGAAGCTTTTACATACAAACACTTTTACACACAGACGCTTTTACACACAAACGCTTTGACACACAGACGCTTTTACACACAGACAACCTCTACACACAGACGCTTTTTACACGCAAACGCTTTCACACACAAACACATTTACACACAGAGGCTTTTACACAGAAACACTTGAACACAAACACTTTTACACACAAACACTTTTACACACAGACACTTTGACACACAGACGCTTTTACACACAGACGCTTTTACACACAGAGACTTTCACACACAGACGCTTTTTACACACAGGCGCTTTTACACACAGACAAGAACGGCACAAGTAAAATCGCACTTTTACCTCAGTTTTTGCCGATCGACCCTCATTTCGCGCGAAAGGGTTGCTCCAGGACAAGTAAAATCGCAATTTTCCCTCAGTTTTTGCCGATCGACCTTCATTTCGTGCGAAAGGGTTGCTCCGGCAGAAGTAAAATCGCACTTTTACTTCAGTTTTTGCCGATCGAACCTCATTTCGTGCGAAAAGTTTCGCGGGACGACTTGGAAATCGCCATTTTACCTCAGTTTTTGCCGATCGACCCTCATTTCGTGCGAAAGGGTTGCTTTAGCACAAGTAAAATCGCAGTTTTACCTCAATTTTTGCCGATCGACCCTCATTTCGCGCGAAAGGGTTGCTCCGGCAAAAGTAAAATCGCAATTTTCCCTCAGTTTTTGCCGATCGACCCTCATTTCGTGCGAAAGGGTTGCTCCAGGACAAGTCAAATCGCAATTTTACCTCAGTTTTTGCCGATCGACCCTCATTTCGTGCGAAAGGGTTGCTCCGGGAGAAGTAAAATCGCAATTTTCCCTCAGTTTTTGCCGATCGACCCTCATTTCGTGCGAAAGGGTTGACGTTTCGTGACTCGCCGCCGGCACCACCCTCGGCCTTAAGAGAGAAAGATAAAAAGAAGGCATGAGAGAGAAGGTGAGCAGGTGTGAAGATAAGAAGATGTGAAGATGAGCAGATGTGAACATGAGCAGATGTGAAGATGAGCAGATGTGAAGATGAGCAGATGTGAAGATGAGAAGATGGGAAGGTGTGAAGATGAGCAGATGTGAAGATGAGCAGATGTGAAGATGAGCAGGTGTGAAGATAAGAAGATGTGAAGATGAGCAGATGTGAAGATAAGAAGATGTGAAGATGAGCAGATGTGAAGATGAGCAGATGTGAAGATGAACAGATGTGAAGATGAGAAGATGTGAAGATGAGCAGATGTGAAGATGAGCAGATGTGAAGATGAACAGATGTGAAGATGAGAAGATGTGAAGATGAGCAGATGTGAAGATGAGCAGATGTGAAGATGAGCAGATGTGAAGATGAGAAGATGTGAAGATGAGAGGTTGTGAAGATGAGCAGATGTGAAGATGAGCAGATGTGAAGATGAGAGGATGTGAAGATGAGAGGATGTGAAGATGAGCAGATGTGAAGATGAGAGGATGTGAAGATGAGATGTGAAGATGAGAAGATGTTTTACAGACCCCCACTATTGGAAGAACCCTGCGCTCAGACGCTCTCGGGAAAAAGATAGATTTTAGACGATTATATAATATATATGATTTTAGTCACTATTTTAGAGTGATTTCACTTTTCATTCTTTTTGGGGGTTACTACAAATGATACCTTTTGTGTCACGGATCAGACACTGAACGTTGCTGACTCCGTCAGTGAGGTTTGTGTGCTCGAGGGAAAATCACCCTAAACTCCTTAAATGTGGTGCCCCATTCAGCTAAGTCGGCTTCTACCTAGCCTAAAGGTTGGGCGCATGGTGCCTATGAGATAGATGGTGAACATACCAACAAACATAACGTTTGGGGGCTCAATCTCATTGAATCTCATCGAATCCTCATTTCCAATGGTTAAATCCCTACTAGTATGGCTGGTTCAATCCCTAAATTTGGATGGGCACCACCTGAAACCTTAATCACTATATATAAATCGCATGAAAACTCCAATAACAAGTCCCAATAAAACTTATATGTTTAAGCCCTAGATTCGGCCAACGAAATCCCATGTGAATCCCTATTAGATCCCTATTAAATCACATGAAATGCCATAAAATCGCATCAAATCCGGTGATATAAATCCTCTGATCAAATCCCCTGAATTTCCAACAGATCCTGAAGGCGGCGCTGGAGCTCAACCAACAGCTGGAGGAGGTCCTTCGGCAGAAGTCGCGGGCGTCCCAAGAGGCCGAGGCCAATGTTGCGGGGTCTTTGCTGCGGATGGAAAAAACCTGGGATCAGTGGGGGATCTCATGCAAGGTGGTGCCCCCGAACGAAATCGCGTTCAGTTGGGGTTCACATAACTCCAATTTCACTATGGTTTTTGTTGGTGTTATATCGAGCTAGTTAATGAGGTTTATAAACAAATTTATATCTAGGGGGCGTCACCTTGTGGATAACTGGGTGATTTTTGTGGTTGAAGAAACCTATCAAAAAGATTTTTGTGGCAAGCCATGTGGTAAAGTTAAGGTATGTCAATCAGACAATAAGTGCTTGGTGGTGACTGGAACCATGGAATTTGATTAGACTTTCCAGAAACAGTTGGGAATGGAATAATCATCCCAACTGACTCCATGATTTTTCAGAGGGGTAGGTTGAAACCACCAACCAGATATTTCTTGGGGATACGGTTGGAGATCATGGGAAATATAAAGTTTTTTTTGGGATCAACGAGCCTTTTTTGATGGGATATTCCATGAAGATTTAATGGGATTTCATGGAAATTTAGTGGGGATATCATGGTACCCTCTGGTAAACATACAAAAAACTATGGAAATCCACCATGCTATCAATGGGTAAATCCACTATTAATTGGCCATTTTCAATAGCTATCTTTGTATGTTTACCAGGCCGGGTATATCAACCCAATGATATCTAATTTGTTGGGTCTTGATCCAAATTACCCTCTGGTAAACTAACATAGCTATTGAAAATGGCCATTTATAGTGAAATTTCCCATTGAAAATGGTGATTTTCCATAGTTACGTTAGTTTACCAGAGGGTATGGATTTGAATGGTTGTTTTTGCTGGATCAACCTTGGACTAATGGTGATTTTTTCCATGGTTTTTTTTTGGGATTAACAAGCCCAAATCCATGGGATTTCATGTGATATGATTGGGATATAACTTGATATATAGCTAAATATAGCTAACAATCATTACTGTAATTCTTGGGTGTGTCTGAAAATGGTGGATATTTTGAAATGGTCATTTAAATAGGGAGGATGATAAATCATCAAAACTTTGGGTAGCCCCAATTTTTAGAGAAAGCCACTTCGAAGCTTGGGTCTTGACCGCTAGGTGAATGGGATTTAACGAATTAACATTGGATTTAAAAGGGATTTGGGGATGAGTCGAAACCGAAATTGGGATAGCCAGGAATCGCAACCGCGCTATGTACAATATGGTTATAACACGCTTGCTAACCGGGATGAAAGCTAGGTAATCCCTTCCGATGATCACATTAAATACCCCTTGGGTCCCGAACATCAATTGAATCCAATACGCTAAACTATGGTTTCGAGATGTTTCTAGAAAGATATTTCTAGGAAGGGATTGTAAACGATTAGGATTTTTCCAGCAAAAAAAAAGGTACCGGGTCTAAACTTTGGATGCAGAAATTCCACTTCAGGGTGACCATCCAGAAATTCGTGGCTATTTTGGTGGAAAACCAGCAGATTCCATGGGAACTCTGCCGCAGGACTTGCGTCGAGTGGCTGAAATCTCCGAAGCCGAGCGAGAAAAGCACCAGAAACTGGAACAGGTTCGAGAAAAAATGGGCCATTTCATCAGAAAAAATAGGGATCGGAGCAGCAACAATTGGTACTGTACCCTCCGGTAATTTAACATAGCTATCGAAAATGGTAATTTATAGTGAGTTTTCCCATTAAAAACAGTGTTTTTCCATAGTTATGTTAGTTTATCAGAGGGTACTGTAAATTTTAAGAAGTGAACATGTGGATTTGACTAATTAGTGAAGATAGAGATTTGATAGGGTTTAGGGACATTTTACATGCAGATATACACCCAAGAATTTCCCAAATATAGGGACGTTATAATCAAAAAAACATGCAGATTTCACGAGTCACATGTGGATATACAGCGCTATGCGATGCAGACTATCAAAAATTTGCTTTCTATCAACAGCTGGTTTGTTGGGTGTTTCACCCAACCGGCAAGTTGGCGAGCTTGCCGTTTTTCCACGCATGTTTCGCACTGTGTCAGCGAAAAATCTACCTATACCTCTCCAAGCCGCAAGGCCCTTCCCAATCATCCTTTCCCCTTCGTTTCCAGGACTTGCGCGAAGCCTCTGAAACCAGGGAGGCTGAACAGAAGCATCAGCATCAGCTGGAAAAAGCGCTGCAGGACGCCGAGATCCAGGCGCAGAAGGAGCACCGCAGCTGGCACCGCGAGCGACAGCGCTGCGAAAAGCTGCAGGAGGAGCTGAAGATCAGCACCTCTGAAGCTGCTGAAGCAACAGCCAAGGTGGGGGAAAACACTGATCGCTTCACAAAAAAAGAAATGGGGGCTTAACCATAGAAGGTGGTGCCCCATGCATAGGAATCGCTGAGTTCGTGAACATAACTCCAATAACTTGGGTTTATGGTAGATATATGGAGGTTTCCTAAAATGGGGGTACCCCAAAACGGATGGTTTATAATGGAAAACCCTATTTAAAAAATGGATTTGGGGCTACCCCCATTGTAGGAAACCCCTTTATCTCTACAGTTTCCATGGTTTATAAACCAAGAAACATCACTGGGGCGGCAGCACCATGCAAATATGGGTCAATGGGAGGCGAATGAGCTGAAGCCAGCTTGAAAAAGGTGCTTCATAGAGGTGATTGTAGTATCACAAATTGTGAATCGGCATCACGAACAAATGTGGGGATGAAACAATATACAGCAAGGCTATGTCGAATTGGTCGAATCCAAAGTGGTTGGGGTTGACAAATCCAGAGCTCGGGCCTCAACCATCTGGGAACGTCAGGTGAAGAAACTTGAAAGCACCATGGCCACAAGCGAGGCGAACCGCAATGATCTGCGCGAAACTGTGGAGATCTTGAAATCCGAATGTACGCAGGAGCTGGCTTCTCGGAGAACAACGGCCAAGGATCTACAACTTTCACAGGAGACTGCGCTGTTTGGTCTGGTTTTTCTTTACAGAAGTAGTTATTTTCCAACAAACATCAACATCATAATCTGGTTGGTGGTTTGGATCATTTGGAATATGACTTTCCAGAAACAGTTGGGAATGTCATCATCCCAACTGACTCCATCATTTTTCGGTAGGTCAACCACCAACCAGATATTTCGTGATGATTCCCCACTCTAAACTTCTCATGGTGCCTCAACCACCAAAGATCGGACCAACGAACCACAGGAGAAGTTGCAGGCCCTGTCCGTCCTCACGGATCAGCTGCGTTCCGAAGTTCAGGAGGCGCGCCGGAGCCTCAAGGGCTCGACAGCTCCGACGGCCGCGGCGTCCGCGGAGCCGGTGACGGTGTGCTACGAGCCCATTGCGGTCACAGAGCAGGCGCTGAGGATTCAAGCCACGGAGAACTGCGATGAATTGGTTACCCTCTGGTAAATGGTGATTTTCCCCGAGGGAAAATGGAGAAAATTGTGATTTTACGAGGGAAAATGGTGATTTCATGGTGATTTCATGGTGATTTCATGGGATTTACCCTCTGGTAAACATACCAAAAACGATGGAAAATCACCATGCTTTTCATGGAATCGCTAATTGTGGCAACATCTAAGCACTTTTGGATCTCTCTTAAAGTCAGGGATTTATTTGTCTCTCCCATTTTGTCCCCAATGAAATTGAGGGATTCAGTTTTCAGTGTATGGCTATTTTCCTGGTGAAAATGAGGCTTTAAGCCATCCGGTTTGACATCATTTTGGGACAATCCTTTTTCAGTCTTGCAGCATTTTGGGATGGTTTGACATATGGGTTTGTTTGAACATGGTGGGTACCCTCATATTTGATGCTTGATCATCATACTTTCACTCTTTTTTACTGGCCGTATATTGGGTATGCCCGCATTTTTGGACACACACACACACAGTAATACACATCGATAAAAACCTGGTTGGTGGTTTGGAACATGAATTTTATTTTCCATAATATATAGGATAATCCTTCCCATTGACTTTCATATTTTTCAAGATGGTTAAAACATGTTAAAACCACCAACCAGAAGCCATGTAATCATCGTCATAGATCCAACTCTAAAGTAGCTTCTATAGATGAACGACAGCCAAGGAACTCAAGCGCAGTTTGTCGCAACCACATTTGCCACGGCGAATGAATGGGATTGCGCCACAGCGGCCACAGTTGCATCAAGCGGATCAAAGTGGATCGAGGAGTCATCCTCAATCGGAGATGCCAAAGATATCCACTTCAGCAGGAAGAAATGGTCAAGTGAAATGGAATCCTGGAAACCTGGGTTTGTTTAAGGTGATTTTTGGTTTTCCCAATGGAACATCCACCATGACTGGGGAATCTATCGTGAATATTCTTATTTTTTGGGGACCCCGAATCAGCAAATCCAAGGAAATTCTCAATCAGAATCTGGCAGATCTCAATTTCCGTCCATCCCGTTAAGCTTTGAGACCTTGCGCGCGGAGATCGCTGCAGCTGCTGCACATCGGCGCCGCGTCTGGGGCGGGACTGGGGCTCGGGCCCCACGACAGCTGTCTGTGACGGTGGAGTCGTCGTCGGAGGAGGACATCGCTGGGTTTCGGTGGAAAAAGATGCGGCTTTCACCGTGATGTCATGGTAAAATATGGTAAAATTCATAGGAATATATGGGAACATATGGGAATTAATTGGGATGATATATAATATATACAGTATATATGCACCAGGCCCTGCCACCCCCCCCCCCCCCCCCCCCCCATATGGGATGGGTCCCATATACTGGTCCCATATGAGATCTTCCCCCCCCCCCCCTGTGGTGTGGTGGGGGTGTGGCACTGTCCCCCTCCCCCCCCTGTGGTGTGGTGGATGGGTCCCATATACTGGTCCCATATGAGATCTTCCCCTCCCCCCCTGTGGTGTGGTGGGGGTGTGGCACTGTCCCCCTCCCCCCCCTGTGGTGTGGTGGATGGGTCCCATATACTGGTCCCATATGAGATCTTCCCCCTCCCCCCCCTGTGGTGTGGTGGGGGTGTGGCACTGTCCCCCTCCCCCCCCTGTGGGGTGGTGGGGGTGTGGTATGGTATGGTGGGTATGTATGGTGTGTATGGTCGGTCTGGTATGGCATGTTTGGAAAGTATGGTATGTTTGGTATGTATGGTAGGTATGGTATGTATGGCATGAGTGGTTTGTATTGTATGGATGGTAGGTATGGTATGTAAGTCTGTTGGATATGGTATGTTTGATATGACAGTATGTATGGTCTGTATGGTATGTATGGTTACTATGATGGGTATGGAATATGTCCTATCTAAGGTAGGTATGGTATGTATGGCATGTATGCTTGCTATTGTATGTATGCTATTGTATGTATGGTAGGTGTGGTAATTACATTTCATATGTATGGTATGTATGGTATGTATGATAGATATGATAGGTATGGTATACATGGCATCATTGACATGTATGGTAGGTACGGTATATGTTCAACAGAGGTAGTGTTGTCAGAGTACACAGGTAGTAAACAGGAAGTAGATACAGTAGATACATAGCACATGTATGCATGACTATAGGTAGCACGTAGGTACTTTGAAGGAGTATGTGTGCTACGTAGGTCGCCTAAAAGGTAGCATGTACCTAGTAAATGCGAGGCTGGTAGTCAGAAATGCTGCAAAGACTTAGCAAATACGACGCTGGACCTCAGAAATGCTGCCAATAGCTTGCAAATAGAAGGGAATTGGGGCTACTACCTGGGGACCCAACCCATGGGGGGGGGGGGGGAGAGACGGAGGACGGGACCATATATATATGTATATATATATAAATGTATATATGTATAATAGTTATTGGACCTTGTACCTCGCCATGGGGTAGTATTGTCAGCCATGGGAATTGCTATGAAGTTTCGACAGTCTACAGGGATGACATTTCGGTCAGAGAGTTCGTGGGAGATTTCCGAGTGACATTTCACTGGGCTCCCAAGCTTTCTTGCTATGACCTGCCATCGAAGCTCGAGCCTTTGGCAATGCCAAAATTCCGGGTGAAGCGATGTGAAAACGTACCCTCTGGTAATTTAACAGTTTGCTATTGAATAGCTGGCCATAGAAATAGTGGATTTTCCCATTAAAAATGGGTGGATTTTCCATTGCTATGCAACAAATTACCAGAGGGTATAGTTCTATCATAAAAAGCCTCCAGTAATCAGCTCCCTGGCTGGCAAATCCACCAAAAAAATACCCGGCCTGGTTATGACTGACTAACAGTTCGCCATGGGAAATAGCCATGGCCCTTTTTTCGAAATAGATGGTTTACCGTTCTTAAAAATGGTGATTTTCTGTGGCTATGTTAAATAACCAGATGGTATATATATATGATGATGATGATGATGAAGATGATGATGATGATGATGATGATGATGATTTTCCTATTCAAACCTCAATTATTCAGACATAAATTGGGCCTCCAATTTCAAGCCAAGACTGCGGCCACTGAGGTCTCTCTTACCTCTCTCGGTGCTTGCTGATTGCGCATCGTAATCAGGCAGCGGGGAACACCGGGGAACGCTGGGCACACGCAGCGGGGTTTCAACATGGGGATTCAACCTTAGGCATGAAAAACCCACCCATTGATGGGATTTCACGGGGATTTGATGGGATATAACGCTTAAAACTTGGTGGTTCACCCCAGTTAGCAAATAGGTTGTAACGCCATGGAATAACATCACTTACCCCGCTTTTTTTCACTGGGGCCACATAACTTCAGGTTGTTAGTTTTTCTCCCGCTGTGAAAAACAAAACGCAGCTTGGATCCTGACTTTGTCGGTCGCCATGGCTTTCTGGGGGTTGTAAAAAATATCGGTCGCCGGTAGCGTTCAGGCCAGGGGGCAACATAACTCCAATAACTCACGATTGGGTTTATGAATGTTTATGAATGTTTATGATACTTATAACTATAGTACGTTGGTGATACTATGTTTATGAATGTTTATGATACTTATAACTAGTAAGTTGGTGATACTATGTTTATGAATGTTTATGATACTTATAACTATAGTACGTTGGTGATACTATGTTTATGAATGTTTATGATACTTATAACTATAGTACGTTGGTGATACTATGTTTATGAATGTTTATGATACTTATAACTGTAGTAAGTTGGTGATACTATGTTTATGAATGTTTATGATACTTATAACTATAGTACGTTGGTGATACTATGTTTATGAATGTATATGATACTTATAACTGTAGTAAGTTGGTGATACTAAGTTTTTGATGTTTATGATAATTATAGCTAAGTTGGTGAACATCACTATTATGAATGTTTATGATACTTTATAACTTGTAACTATACTGGTTGGTGGTTTGGAACATGAAATCTATTTTTACACATATTGGGAATTTCATCATCCCATACCCATACATAATCCCATACATAATCCCATATAATCGCAGTAATTCCATATGATTCCCATACATAATCCCAGTATTTTCCAGTATTTCCAGGTTGCCAAATCCCATACATAATCCATTAAATCCCACTAAGCCCACTAAATCCCATACATAATCCCATGGACAAGTCCCAGAAACAAATCCCTATTTATCCGTTAAATTCCTATGAAATCCCATATAATCCCATACATAATCCCATACATAATCCCATACATCATCGCAGTATTTCCCGGTATTTCCAGAAAAAATATGGGATTACTGGGATTATATGGGAAATACTGGGATTGCCAGCAGCATTACCCATATATATAATCCCATACATCATGGGGTGAATCTAAAACCGCCAGGTTGCCAGCAGCCCGCGCAATCGCCTCGTGGGCTTCATCGTCCCTTCGAAACAAAGGGGGGAAGATTTGGGGAAACCACTGGGGACCCGGCCTGGGAACCCAGTGAGAAGTAGGGAAAATCACCATTTAACGAGGGAAAATGGTGATTCTATGGGATTTAGCTAGGGAAAATCAGGGAAAATCACCATTTTGAAAGGGTAAATCAACCAAACAATGGTGATTTAACTGAGGAAAATGATGATTTAGCTATTAGCTATGGTGATTGAAGTTCGATTTTTGAAAAACCCATAAACTATAAGTAGTAACTATTTCTATGACCATTTTCAATAAGTTACTAGTTACTAGTTGGTCTCGACCGGTAAATCGTAACTATTTCTATGACCATGTTCAATAGCTATGTTTACCAGAGGGTATGTGTCAAAGGTAATTATCATTAATTATCAGTTTATCAACCCAAGTGAATGGATAACACATGAATGGATACAGATCTTCAGGATCACACAACTCTAAGGTCAATTTGCACTTCAATTTTGATCCATATCTAGATAGCCACGAAGCTTTTGATTCTGAAGGGCAATCAAACGTGGCAATTGAACCTTCCATTCATAGGGGACCTGAGGGCTGTGGAGGTCGCAAAAATGGCCGTTTCCAAAAGGACTCTACCGCTTGCTCAAGCCACTCCAAACAGGGTGGTTCATCATTTGAGATGCTGAAAAGACAGCTGGTGAAGCGATTGACGTCAAAGTTGAGCCAGTCTATGTAGCCAGGGAGAAACGCTCGACAAATTTCGTCCAAGGTGACTAGCGGCCCTGCTTTGGTGAATTGGACGAGGGAGCACCTCCATGATTGGATGTCTACATGGTTTGACTTTTCACCTATAGAGAATGTATGGGTCTGAACAAATAGGTGAATGAAGACGCATGGTATGCCAATTGACCCCGTCAAATGTACTTGGGGGGCCAGTTATATCATGTTATATCCACCTGGCACTCCAAGTTTTGATGGTTACATCCCCCATGAATTATGATGAACAACCGCAAAAGATCCATAATGTCAACCCCAGATAAATAAACCATAATTTAGCTAATATGGAGGGTACTCCCCAAATAGTGATAATCATTTGATAATCTGATACTTCAATGGTGCACCCTCCCCATTATAAACCAACCATTTTGGGGTGTATTCCCATTCTACAAGGTGGTTCCCCCCTAGTTAAACTTGGTTTATAAATCCCATTAACTAGTTCGATATATCACCTATAAACCATAGGGAAATTCGAGTTATGTTCACCAACTGAACGCTATCGACTGGGGGCACCACCTTGTAGGAAAGCCCCATATGAATGATGCTTAGCAGCTTATCCCAATTTAAAACATCATCATATAACATCATATAACCATAGTTAATAATTTATCATATACATAAATCATATAGGATGATTACCTTATAGTTACATATCCCGTGAGAACTTCAAACCGCTTCTTAACGCTTCGTTTCGACTCCGAGGTCGGTAGCACCTACTTCTCCCTGCTCTTTTCCTTCAGCGGCTGGCTTCACTACTCCAAGGTCAATGGGTGGCTTCCAGGAGATGACAACGACAATGGTTTCTAGTGGGATATATGATGATATATGATATATATCCCAGTAGTACCGCACGTGAGGCGGTGGCGGAAGTTTCAAAAATAGGAAACCGAAAAAGGAGAGGTTGGTTGTTGTGAATCACGGATGGCAGAGCGAATCCACTGATGGACCGACAGGTGCTTGAATGGTTGCAATGGTTGCAGTGGTCACCTTACCACAACTGCTGGATGTAGTGTGGTGTAGTGCAGTTGTAGTTGTAGTTGCAGCTGTAGTTGTAGTGTAGTGGAGCTGTAGCTGTAATGTAGTGTAATTAGTGTATTTGTAGGTGCAGTTGCAGTTGTAGCCGTGGTGTGGTGTAATTAGTGTAGTGTAATGCAGCGTAATGTGGTGTAGCGTTGTGTAATGTAGTGTGGTATAGTGGTCGTAGTTGTAGTGGAGTGCAGTGTAATTAGTGTAGTGTAGTGTAGTTGTAGTTGTAGTTGCAGCATAATTAGTGTAGTGTAGTGTAATGTAGGTTTGTGTAGTATGTGTAGTGTAGTGTATTGTAGTGTAATGTAATGCAATGTAATGTAATGTAATGTAATGTAGTGGTAGTTGTAGTTGTAGTTGCAGTTGCAGCTGCAGCTGTAGCTGTAGTGTAATGCAATGTAATCAGTGTAGTGTAGCGTTGTGTAATGTAGTGTGGTTGCAGTTGTAGTTGTGTTTGTAGTTGTAGTGTGCTGCAGTGTAATTAGTGTAGTGTAGTGTAGTTGTAATTGTAGTTGTTGTTGTTGTAGTTGTTAGTGTAGTTGGTGTAGTGTAGTGTAGTTAGATGTAATTAGTGTAGTGTAGTGTAATTAGTGTAGTGCAATGTAGCGTGGTATATTTGTATTTGTAGTTGTAGCAGTAGTGCAGTGTAGTGGTAGTTGTAGTAGTTGAAATTGTCATTGCCTGTCTATCTATCTATCTATCTATCCATCTATCTATCTATCTAGCTATCTAGCTATCTATCTATCAATCTATCTATCTATCCATCCATCTATCCATCTATCTATCTATCTATCCATCTATCTATCTATCTACCTGCCTATCTATCTATCTATCCATCTATCTATCTATCTATCTAATCTAATCTAATCTAATCTAATCTAATCTAATCTAATCTAATCTAATCTAATCTAATCTATCTATCTATCTGTTTGTCTGCCTGTCTGTCTGCCTGTCTGTCTGTCTACCTGCAAGCTTGAAAACGCAGCAATTCTGCGAGACTTCGTCAGTTTTTGAACTTGACAACGTCAAAAACGAAGCGAGACTTCCTCAATTTTTGAACTTGACAGTCAAAAACGAAACTATTCTGCGAGACTTCCTCATTTTTTAAGTTGACAACATCAAGAACGAAGCAATTCTGCGAGACGTCCTTCAAAAATGGAAAGTTGAGTGCAGAGCTGATGGCCTCGTACCAATGCGTTTTGCGATTTTTCCACTCCATCTGTCTAAACTACTGCGCCTGCCACGAAAAAGTGATGCCAGGTCATACGAAGTGCTGCACCTGTCACGCAAAATCATTTCAGCAAACCTGAAGATCTGATGCTCCAAAATGCAGCCTCTCTCAGGAAATCAGCGCCTGGACCTCCTAACAGCTCTGATGAACATGTCTCTTCTGCGCCTGCCATGGAAAATGCATCTTTGCAGATCCCCTTCAAATGTCCCACGCCTGCCACCGTTTTTTTGAAATGCTACAAAACCCTCGGTCCACAATCCCTTGCGCCTGCCACGCAAAACGACGTCTGAACGTCCAAAAGTGCTCCGACTCCCTCAGTTTTTTACATTCGAAATGTGCTTCGCGCCACAACGGTGTGCACTTTTTCGACATCTCAACTTCCAAACGTGGTCCGAACCTGGTGTGTTTTGCACATTTTGACTTCGAAATGTGCTTCGCGCCATAACGGCATGCACTTTTTCGACAGCGCAACTTCAAAAAGTGCTCCGAACCCGTCAGTTTTTTACACTTTTGACTTGGAAATGTGCTTCGCGCCACAACGGCGTGTAATTTTTCATCATCTCAACTTCCAAAAGCGGTCGGAACCTGTCAGTCTTTTACACTTTTGACTTGGAAATGTGCTTCGCTCCACAACGGCGTGCAATTTTTTATCTCTCATCTGGCCAGCTGGCTCCGCACCCGCCGCTCTAGCGAGCCTACTTTTCGACCCTCCGGAGCCACAAATCATTGGAAAAACGCAGTGTTTCGCGACTTTCTTACCTTTTCGCGCACCTGGATCTTCTTTCTGCTGGCTCTTTCCCTTTCTTCTTCTCTTCTCTTCTCTGACTCTTCCCATCTTTGCTTTTCATCTGCCCATATTGTCGGAGGTTTGACTTCTAAACTTCTTTCGTTAATTATATATACTGTATATTAATATATATATATATATATATATTATACACAGTTTCACACTAATATATATATATATATATGTTCATCCTATAGATTCCATGCTTAGTACTCACGAACCATAGATTCTATGCTTCAAAATTGGTGCATCAATGGATTGTTGTAAGGGAACATCTTAACCGGAAACCATGGTTCCACGAAATATAGGGGGCTTCCTGTGGTTTCCACTAAAATTTCCCTTAAACCATTCCATTATTCCGAGCTTTTCCCAAGCCACCGGCCACAGTGTCACTTCAGCTCAAACCTTCGCCGCCACCATGCCACCCTTGAAACGCCCCGCTGCTGCCATGGCAAGCGGCGGCTCGCAATATCGCGTGGTGGCTTGATTGGGTTCGCTAAATCACCATGGAAAATATATGAGGGTTTATATTAGAAAATGGTGGTTTCCTGAAATGGGGATATCCCAAAATGGATGGTTTATAATAGACAATCCTACTAAAATGGATGATTTGTGGGAATAATGGGATAATAATGGGATAATAATGTTAATATTGGGATTATCCTCTGGTAAACATACAAAAAACTATGGAAAACCACCATGCTATTAATGGGTAAATCAACTATTTCTATGGCCATTTTCAATAGCAAACTGTTAGTTTACCAGAGGGTAACCACATGGTTAAAAACTCTGTTTATAGGTGGTAGTTAGTATATTGTTTTTCACCATCAAAAAAACATGGAGGATTTTCCATGGGATTTTCCAGCACCCCATGGAGCTGATGAAGACCCTAAGCTTGCAGTAGAGCCCAAAAAAAACATACTAGGCTTGAGGTTGAACATGGTTTATAACCCCTAAGTGTCGAAAAACTATCAACCGCATAGACTTTGTATAGTCATAAACCAAGTGACCTTTTTGGGCCCCAGTGGCCGTGGCGGGTCCATCTACAAAAACCGTTCCCGGGCCCAGCTTCGCTAGGTCTGTCTGAAGGATCTGGACTCTTCGGGGGATACGGACGCCCATTCGCGGGAGTGGGAGGTGGTGTATCCAGCAGAGGACCGCATCATCAGGCCGTTTCTGGTGGAGTGGTACCCTCTGGTAAACATACAAAAAACAATCGAAAATGGCCATAGAAATAGTGTTTTTTCCCTTTGAACATGGTGATGTTCCATAGTTTTTTGTATGTTTACTGGAGGGTAGATTGGACATGGGGATGACAGACATTTTGCGGTGGCGCAAAGGGTCATATGGTCATATCACCCAGATGTGCCAGTGTCAAAGTTCGTTGGATTTACGTATTACTAAGATGAGGATCCAGTAGTATATGAATGGGAACAGAGTGGGATACGTAACCAACATTAACCAACCATATCAGTTGGATGATATACCCATGATATACATATCTTGGGGGATGGTGATCAATCCATCATAGGAATTCGTATGGGATTTGTATACTCATTATAAGGATTCCCATTGTGGGATGGATGACCGTAAACCATAACCGTATATACCATGTTTGGATCTGCTCGCACATACCCCAAAAGGAAGAGATCCACGATAGACTGATTCATGCCTGGAAGCACCACATTCTAAGTTTCACTCGCGAACTATGCTAAACAATGTTTTCTTTTGGGGTTATTTCATATTAGGCAAGGTTCCTAAAGTTCCTGCAGCTTGTTCGAAGAAACCACATTTTAAGAAACAACCCCAAAATTTGGACCTATATAGTTCTGATTCTATAAATTATATAGGTCCAAATAAGTGGTTATATAATAATTATATAGTGGATCTATAGGGGTCTAGTTCCACTATATAATAAGTGCTTATATAGCTATAGTTGCCGTGGTGTAGTTCCACTATCCCAACAAACATCTGGGTCAAAATGCCAGGGGTACCTCCAAATCAACTGGGTTCCCTATGATAACTGAAAAATCTGGAAGAATCCCTATGATAATCATACATTGGAATTTATTCTCCCAGATTTTTTAGTTATTACCATCTGGTTATTTAACATAGCCATGGAAAATCACAATTTTTATATAATAGGTAAGTCATCTATTTCTATGGGCCATTTTCCACGGCTGTGTTAAATAACCAGAGGGTAAACCCAATGATAAACCATATCGAATCGGATCGGTACATCTCCAGCAGGTTGTTTGATGACTTGGAGTTAAAGCAGATCTCCATGCCGCGCAACTTCTTCTGGGACGAGGAGAACACGGAAGACGACCAGCACCTCCTGAACGTTCGCAAGGACCGACGGATGGCGGCCATAGCGGCCACGGTGAGCTCTGAGGTGGCAAATCAGATTTCAGATAAAATCCCAGTGTTTTAAGCTCCAAAGCCTAGGATTGAATTCTTGAGTTTTGGCTTTTTAGAGTTCAATACATTGATTTGGTGACCTTTTTCATGAAATTGAATGATTTTGTATGCTGAAGATTTCAATCCGCTCGGTTTGGGGCTAGAATGAGACAGGGTGGACTTCACTGCCTCTTCACAATGATGGTCAAGAAAGGGTTTTATCCCAATATTGCCAAACTTTCCAGGTTAGTGAACCATTACAACCCAGATCAAGGAGGGTGGCAGTGAATGACCTCTGATGGGCCGTCTCTTGGAGATGATTCAACCCCCCAAAATCACGGTTCTTTTTCATGGCTGGATAACCGCCTATGAACAGATAGTCATGCTTATGAGCCACTTATAAGATGGAATAGCCCCCAATTTTTGCCGGTGAAAAAGTCGCGTTTGTGTTAGCTGCACATTTTCTTGGTAAATCCGAAGTTTTCCTGAGATCAGGCCATAGGTCCCAGTTGTTGGCAAAATCCAATTCATCGCAGTGAACCATCTTTTTTCCCAGTAAACTCCTGACTTTCTGACCTGAAATGAGGACTGGAGCGATCTGCAACACCAGACCTATCGCGGCCTGGCGTCGCTAGCTGAACGCCTCCTGCAGGGTGGTGAAACGTTGTCGGACGCTCGGCTAAAGAATCACCATTTGGGATGAATTGGGCATTATAAAACTCAGAACGCACTTGGCAACGAGCCCGACCCGAGGTTCGAGGTCCGAGGTCCGAGGTTCGAGGTCCGAGGTCCGAGGTCGCCATGAGGGTGCAACATCCATTGTCAAGTTTGATCTTAAAAACAAAACAACAAATTATGGGAGTCAATGGAGATTTGATAGGGAGTGAATAGGGATTTAACGGGATTCAAACCCCAGTTATAAGTAGGCCAAGAAGGGTTTGTCCAGCAAGAACTGGGGTTACAACCAACTTGGGGGAGCATGCTAGAGGCTACTTTTATTTATTAATATTTTTTTAAAGCCTCCTGGTAAGCTGTTATAAAGCCCCATGGTTGTTGGGGTATTGTGCACCTTCTTGACTATGGTGACATCTAATTAGCATCGGTAAAGCTTAAAACACACATAAATTGGGCCATGAGTGAAAAAAGATGACACCACTATAGTTATGCTATGTTATTATGTTATGATTTTTTGTAATATACAGGGTGGTGCCCCATAGTTAGCTAAGTTGGTTTATAAGTCCAATTTCACTATGGTTTTTGTTGGTGATATATCGAACTAGTTACTGGGATTATAACCCATTTATAACTGGGGGGGCACCACCTTGTATATATATATATCATGTTGTATCATCCAACTGATATAGTTGGTTAATGTTGGTTAATTAATGTTATTATGTTATGTTTTTTTTTTGTAATATATCTATATACTAGTATATATATAGAACCACAAAAGAATCACAAGGGAACTGCACACTTACCCAAGAGTTGTGACCCAATCTGGGATGATGATGGGATGATGGGAGATCAAGCGAGATTGGGATCGTAACCAGTAGAATTTTTCTTCTTGACCAACATTCATTAAATATCATAGGAATGTTGGTTAAACATTTTTTTATTAACATGGGATCCTATTTTTGTTATTTACCAACTATCATTCAATGAAAATCCCATAGGATCAAATAGTTTCGGTGGTTGTGAACATTATCTTGAAAAAAAACATCCATTCTTCCATTGGAAGATTGGATTTAAGCAGCAATGTACGGATTTTACAACCAGACAACCAGGAATTTATCCTGAGGATTTCACTAGCATTGAATCGAACAGTTAGATGCTCAAGCAACAAAAAATAGGCCAATGTACCCTCTGGTAGTTTAACATAGCTATGGAAAATCTCAGTTTTAAATAGGTACATAAATAATCTATATAATCTATGAATATGGTCAATTTTCCATAGCAATGTCACAAATTTCCAGCGGGTAATACGAAAGAAGTCATCTTGGGTCATGCCAAATAAAAACATGAGGGGGAGACTTACGATCCTCCCTGCGGGGCTCCTCTGGGTTTGTCAACCATGTACTTGCCAACCTTGGGAAAGACGTCAACATAGAAATTGGATGCAACGATGTTTGGCATAATTTTTTCCGAACATCCCACTGGTTTATACCCTTAAATATACCAATATCATCCAATATCTATTGAACTTGAAGATCCCAATTTGAAAAGATGTCAATTCTTTGACCACAGAAGATCCCAAGATTTCTTCGTCTCCCCTCGCAATTCACGAAGACGCCACGCCCAGCAGCGAGCGGGTCGTGGCCTCTTCGAAGTTCTCCCTGGGATCTTGACAGTGCGAAGAAACTTGGGCGACAGAAACGTGGGGGAAGTGTCAGCCAAAATCCTCTGAAAATGGAGGTTTTAATGGGAAAACCATAGGAAAACGATAGGAAAATGGAGGTTTACCCTCTGGTAATTTAACGTAACTATGGAAAATCACCATTTTTAGTGGGAAAATCCACTATAAATGGTCATTTTCAATAGCTATGTTAAATTACCAGAGGGTATCTAATTAATGATACTATTATCATAACTAGAGGGTATCTTTAACATTTAACCAGCAATGTGATAATTATCTAAGTAAAAACATGATATGATCATGATTAGATGATCTGTTATACAAATATCATAATTAGAGGTGGGATGAATTCAATAGCTGTGGCTGGGAATGACCCTTCAAGTAAACAACCAGGTCTTATCAATCCGCTGTGGACGGTGTGGACACCGACACGGCATGGCAGTGCTTCACCATCGCTGAAGGTTTGTTCGAGGTGACGTTTTATTTGCTGGCTGAACCATTTAAGGAATATATACATATTTAGGGCCCTTCAGCAAATCTAGGTGTTCAATGACGGAGAGTTTTTCTTCGAAGACCAAGGTGCAGCTATTTTTTTTTGACATGTTTCCAAGATTTTCCAAGACAAATCAAGATTTTCCCAGAAAAAAAACGGAGTTTCCACTGGTTTCCACGAAAAAAAAACCGTTCAACGAGTCTCCCCGTGATTCCGTCCAGGTAGCTTCACGCTGAGCTTCTGCAAGCACGGTGCTCGCAGCTGCCAAGTGCAGTCCTGGAATCCGGAACGTGCGACCTGTCAATGCGACATTTTCTGCTTGGTGGCCAAGAGCAGTGCGAAGGAGTTGATGGTGATCAATCAGAAGCTTCGAGCCAAGTGAATGCCGAGGTCGCATTTTTGTTGGATGGTAAAAGACTTGGGGGATTCCTGTTGCAAAATGTCGGACATTACAAAATGAGTTACCCTTTGGTAAACTAACATAGCCATGGAAAATATTCATTTATAGTTGATTTACCCGTTAAAAATGGTAGTTTTCCATAGTTATGTGACAGTTTACCAGAGGGTATCAGATGTTATCAGCTTTTTGGAAGTTAAGGATTCCTGTTTTTGTCTGCAGGATGGTGAGGTTTCACTGGAAGTTAAGTTGGTTTTTTTTTGGGTTTTCTGCAACTATGGCTCTGTCCTAAGTGCAGTTCCAGTTATAAGTTGTGGTTATATGAGCTATGGTCAATACTCATGGTTAATATCCATTAAAAACGGGGCTAGTCATCCAATGGTTCCACTCGGGATTTATAATAACCATTATTTTTGGATCCTTATTATGGATGGGATGACCATCAACCATATAGTGAATATTGACCATGGCTCATATAGAACCATAGCTATAGTGACTATAGTGGTGTTATCTTATATCCCAATTTGTTCTGGCTTTAACATGTTTTAACCATTGATATAGCGACGACAATTAGATGTCACCGTAGTTATAGGGGCCCCATATGCCAACAACCATGGGTGTTATTGAAACCATACGATTATTCCCATTATATCTGGTTGGTGGTTTGGAACATTTTTTATTTCCAAATATTTGGAATAATAATCCCAACTGACTTTCATATTTTTCAGAGGGGTCCAAACCACCAACCAGATATAGTTTCACTTTAATTGCAGCCCCACAACCAATGTGATTTTTCAGCGCGGGAAACCCTGGTACGATCCGAAAATTGGGTGGTGGGAAAGCTACCACTGCTGTTTGTTGAAAGAACCATGGCGCCGAACGGGTCAAAAAGCAGTGCTGCCCGATGAGTAGTTCAACTGTAGTGTGGTAGTTTAATTAGCATTATCCATTATAAACCATCCATTTTAAATGGAACATGCCATTAAAATGGACGGTAGTCCTTTTTAAAATCATATTGGGGATGTTGATCCCAACTGATTTTTACGTTTTGCAGGGGAAGCCAGCGATCAGTTTTTTCCCGTTGCATCTCTTACTTGGAAAATGAACGATGGTGGCATTCAACGCTTTCATTCTTTGGTCCGTACATATGTTTGCCGTAGATGATCAGGCTGTTACTTGGACCTCCCAGGAATTGTGAATGTTTCATACTTGAGGGGGGAGTTCAATTTGTACGTGGATATATGGAGGTTTCCTGAAATAGGGCTACCCCCCAAAATTATCCATTTTGATGGCATTTTCCGCTATAAACCATCCAGCTATGGGGGTACCTCCATGACTATGGAACCCCCCCAAAAAAACCACCGTTTTTTGGGGGCCCAGATCCCAGATCCCGGAGTGAAATCTCCTTGCGATTTAGACCTAAATCTGAAGCCCATTTTCAGAAGCCAAGGTGAAGTGATAATGTCAACCCTGGATTAATAAATAGATAGAGAATTAGATATCTATAGATAAATAATAGTCTAACTTCAAAATTGGGATCTATAGATATCTAATGTCAACCCTGGATTAATAACCCCCGTTTACGGCTGTTTAATTGGGAGGGTACCATAAAAAAGTATTAGATAATGACTTTGGAGGAGTACCCCCCTAATTAATAAACCATGGTTTAGTCTCATCCGGGGTTGACATTACAGTAGAACCACAGCAAAGGATGATACCTCGAACTTTGGCGCTAATGCATGCTAATGCATTGGTATTTTGTGCAAGTCTGTTGGTTCTTGATGGGTCAAAGCACTGATTTTTCTGGGGATGGGTCAAAAGCTATGAAATTACCCTGTGGTAAACTGTCACATAACTATGGAAAGATCCACCATTTTTCATGGGAAAACTCACTATTTCAATGGCAATTTTCAATAGCTATGTAACAGTCATTACCAGAGGGTACCATATGACTCGGGGAATCATCATCCCAGCAACGTGGGGATGAAACCAGCAAAGAATTGGGAATTTTTCCCAACAATTTTGCGGGTGGGTAAGCGAAATGGAAATCATGGCCATGGAAGCTCCATCATCGTAGACCTCTTGAGAATCGGATAAACTAATGGCGGTGATCGTTTATCAGTGAAGGATATATTTCTACATTCGTCAGAAAGCCCAAAAGATAGGAAAGGGTCAATTTATCCCGATCTTGGTGGATTTTTCATACCAAAGTCAACAACTGACTTTCATATTTTTCAGAGGGGTTCAAACCACCAACCAGTATAACTAGTATAGGGTTATTCCACAAGAAATCTGACCGCAGAACATCGTTTTGCGCCAGGTGATTGAGGCCGTGATGCTTCGTGAAACGCCCTTCGCCCACAGGCGGGCCACTTTTGGGGCCCCCGCGGGCCCCGGGAAGCTCCACAGAAACCGTTGGAAAACATGTGGATTTGTGTGAAAAACGTGGATTAAACCATCAAAATATGTAATTTTTCATGATTAAACCGTTATTAAACCACTAAAACATGGGTGATTGAGGGTACAGTTCCAGTGATTTATGTGGATGTAAACCATAGTGATAGGATGTTTTAAAGGGGCCCTATATCACCCAACATGGGGGGTCATCTATTTCACCCCAAGCGCTAAGTAGGGTGATCCAAGATGATTTGTCATTGGTTCTTATGGTTCTGGGTCAGTGAAAAATACTGTACAAGGTGGTGCCCCATAGTTAGCTAAGTTGGTTTATAAGTCCCATAACTATGGTTTATGGCAGATATAACTATAGTTAATGGGGATTATAAACTAAGTTATAACTGGGGGCACCACCTTGTAGGTTGGTGAACACGAGAATAGCTGGTAAATATAGGTAAAGATACGGGCTTCATGAGCTTCATCCCCTCAACATATAGTTTTTTGCAGGTTTGATCCATCCCCATTTCAATATTGAAAACCATATTCAATCATTTTCGGTCAAATCCTCAGTTTTGATAGTTACGCTCCAATTTTTATTGTCATAGATGTGCAAAAACCAGTGTTTTCTACGAACATGATTTACAATTGGTGGATTTTTCACACCAAAGTCAACAAAAAAACAACCCAGAAATGCATGGAAAAAGCTGCAAACAACTGGAAATTAGGAAGTAAATTTCAACTAAAAATGACATTTTTTGGATTCCAAAATGCTGGAGAAACCTGGCAGGTTGAGAAACTTGGCTCTGCCCTGTGCGCCCAAAGAGACGTCGGGAGGCCAAGTAGAGGTCATTTTTTGGCGGGCTTCACCATCAAGAATGGTGGCTGAAGAACCTAACTATAATGGTTTGATGGTGATAAAAACCATAAAAACCATAGAAAAAAAACAATTTCATAAATTTATTCCACCAAAAAAAAGGTTTACAAGTTTACCCTTTAATAAACATAGAACAAAACTATGGAAGATCCATGGTTTCCCCCTTCAAATTGGCTTAAAATTGGTCTGCAGTCGGTTGGATTTTCCATAATTTTCGGGTCGATTTGCTCGAGGATAACCATTTGAACTGGGGATAACTGGGCAGCTGAACATGAATAGATCCAATACTAAAGCGTGGTTTATAGGGTGGCATTTTCTGTTTGGGGATGGCATCAATTGAGATATTGTGTTTTAGGGGTTGATATTTTATTGGACTTTTGCCAACCAAAGTCAGGATGTTTAGATCTTTAAAATGACCAATCGGTTGCACCAGTTCTGCGAGTCCATTGCCCCAATCATGAAAAAATCTAACCCGGTCACCAATCCTATGAAATACTGGTCGGCTATGGGATGATGAATGGATTGAAACATATTGAAACCACCAAGCAGTTGTATTCAACTGCAGTTCACATTGTGTATCACTTGATACTGTATCACCCATTTCAAAATATGCATTTCTGTGGCAACTGTATTTCTGTAAATTGAACCCGGTTCTTTCAGAATCCCGATCAAACCAGGTACCTGCTTAGTCAATGTTGGATATTCGTCCTTTTCCAATCAGGTAGTGAAAAGCAAAACTGGTTGGTGGTTTCAGACATGGCTTTTATTTTCCATTTCATATATGGGATGTCATCCCAACCCCATTGACGAAATCCATGCTTTTTCAGAGGGGTAGGTCAACCACCACCAACCAGTATATAAATTGGTTTATAAACCCCATGAAGACTATAGAATTATAGATATATCATTATATCACCTATAAACCATAGTTATTGGAGTTATAAACAGAAATCTAAGCTACAAATAGGGACCCCCATCGTGAGGTTGGTGTAATTTCAGCCTTGCGAAAAGCCAGGCGCAACTGGCTCCAGACAGAGGATCACTGACACGGATGGCTTGGGATGAGTTGATTCTTATTTTTGTTATTTTTTCAAATGGTTGATAGTGGGAATTATATCTATACATTCTATATGTGTATCATATATATATACACACATTTTATATGTATATATGTATATATGATGTGTATTATATATACACATACATATAAAGTGACCTCCAATTATATATATATACATAATATATATATATATATATATATGGTGTAATTTTTTCTATATTCTTGGCAAATACTATATATATGGTTCATGTGTTTTCTTTAGTGGTTGATATTCTATTCATGTGTTACCACATCTGGTTGGCAGCTTGGGGGGAAAAGCTTTCGCTGATGGAGAGTCCATGCAAGGTGTGGTGCCCCCGAAGGAAATCGCGTTCAGTTGGGGTTCACATAACTCCAATTTCACTATGGTTTATGGTACCTATAACTATAGTTAATGGGGTTTATAACCCATTTATAGGTGATATAACTATAGTTAATGTTTATAGGTGATATATCGAATGGGCTTTACAAAGCAATTTATAACGTTTGGGGGGCACCACCTTGTGAGGATCTTTCCATACCACAAATTTTTGGTATTTCATCAGCAGCTGGGGAGTATAAGCAGCAGCGTCAACATTTCAGCTTCGTTGCGGAGCACAGATGGACAGGTCATGTGTTAAGTCTGTTAAGTATTATGTATATCGGGTCGCCACTTTTGATCATATATGACTATGAACTATATGTATATGATCAAAACTAGGTTGGAAAAGCAACGCGA